CCATGCTCCTCTGAAGCCTTCTAGCCCGTGTTCGTGCTGTTCACCACCTCCTGCCAGATCTCCTGAGGCTGCAGCCTGCATGTGAGCCTTCCTGTTTTCCTGCCCCCCACACAGACCTCTCTGCAGAGGGACTACCACCCTGCAGAGCAGCTGCCTTCTGCATGGGGGCGGGGGGGGGCCAGGGGCCCCAGTGTGGCTGCAGGAGCTCTGTGCCAGGGCACAGTATGTTTCATTGTAAATCTGCTCCTGCTACTTGCTACTTCATCGTGGTGTCCCAGGCACCCAATTTCATTTAGGCATTTGTGATGTCCAGCAACACCACAGAGCTTTTAGTAGTGTCACATCATGAATTCACATTGGGCTTGGATTTGATCACATTTATGTATGTATGAGCAGATACACAGGAACGCACATTATCATGAATTCTATCCAGGATATTCTCTCGCAAAGCTCAGCCATAACAAGCATGCTACCTACAGAAGAAAAAAATAAAATAACTGAACTGGCAATGAGAATGCGGTTAGTGAAGTATTTCCATAAGGAGCAGATTCCATAACAGTCTGCCATAAGCAGATCATTAGAGCAGTAGAAAGGATTTCTTAAGTATCTTACTGTAATACAAGCACTAAGAATGCACATAACCATCGCATTTAGATTCTAAATATTATAGACGCATAGACTCATAGACTTTAAGGTCAGAAGGGACCATTATGATCATCTAGTCTGACCCCCTGCACAGTGCAGGCCACAGAATCTCACCCACCCCCTCCTAGAATAATCCTCTCACCTATATCTCAGATATTGAAGCCTTCAAATACTTTGAAGACCCCAAGATGCAGAGAATCCTCCAGCTGTGATCTGTACCCCATGCTACAGAGGAAGGCGAAAAACCTCCAGGGCCTCTGCCAATCTACCCTGGAGGAAAATTCCTTCCCGACCCCAAATATGGCGATCAGCTAAACCCAGAGCATGTGGGCAAGACTCACCAGCCAGACACCCAGAAAGTTCTCTATAGTAACTCCTATCATCCCTCCATTGACCTATTTACCACTGCTAATGAATGGTCAATTAGTTACCAAGATCATGTTATCTCATCAAACCATCCCCTTCATAAACCCATCTAGTTTAATCTTGAAGCCAGGAGGTCTCTTTCAGCTCTATGCCAGAACCTCACTCCTATAATGGTTAGAAACCTTTGTCTAATCTCAAGTCTAAACTTCCTACTATCCACCTTCTATCCATTTGTTCTTGTGTCCACATTGGTATTAAACTTAAATAATTCCTCTCCCTCCCTGGTATTTATCCCTCTAAGGGTATGTCTACACTACAAAGTTAGTTCGAACTAATGGACGTTAGTTTGAACTAACTTTCCTAGGTGCTACACTAGTGCTCCGTTAGTTCGAATTTAATTCGAACTAACGGAGCGCTTAGTTCGAACTAGGTAATCCTCATTCCACGAGGATTAAGCCTAGTTCGAACTTACTAGTTCGAATTAAGGGGTGTGTAGCCCCTTAATTCGAACTAGTGGGAGGCTAGCCCTCCCCAAAATTAGATTTTGAGATGAATGACGACTCATCATGTCCTTCACTCGCTTATGTCTTGGGACCATGTTCCAATACCTGGAAAACGTTCCCCTTTTCTAGTCTGTCACATTTTCACTGCCTCCTCCCTCAAAGCTTCAGAAAGCTATTTAAACCGTAGCTCCATAATGGTGTTCATTTCCATTGCAGCCCTAATAATCAAAACACATTATAAGAACCAGGGACCTCTGGAAGCCAACTGGCAGAGGGCATAAAGCTCACAGGAATCCTCTGGGGCTGGAATTTACATTGTAGTTCACTTACTTGAGATTTCTAATGAAAGTCTATATCCCATTGGGCATCAACACCATTGCCAAATGCATAAATGAGTACTGTGTAAGGAGTTACATATACATGCTGAAAAATATGTTTTAAGGTCTTGAGAGTGGTCACCAGTAAAGATGAATCGTACATTTTCTTTCAGACAATAAATGTTTTATCTACTGTGTTCATATGTAAATTAAGCATTGTATTGTTCACAATAGGCCTTCATTCACAAAACCGAATCAAATGTTAATGAATAGCTGAAATCTTCAGAAAGAGGAAAACAACAGAAAGAGGCGTACAGAAGGAGAGGGTGGACTCTATCTTGAGATGCACATCAAACAGCCTAGTGTGGCCCTGCCTGTCCTACGCCCCCAAACTCTCTCCTGCTTGCTTCAAATTCCCACTTTTCAGTGACTGAGGCTGGAGCTGGACAAAGAAAGCAATGCCTGTGGAGTCCTGGAAGGCAGTGCTTGTGTTGCCAGAGGCCGGTGGCTTCAGGGAACTGATTCACAGCACGCACAGATGAGACTTCCTCATACAAAGAGGCAGGTGATGGAGAAATGCTTCACAACCTTCGGCAAACTTGAGACACATCTTAACTTAACAAATAGAGCTTATGCCCTATTCATGAGCTGTATGTTGTTTTTTACATTTACAAATTCTTTGGAAGGGGGAATTTTAAATTCATAGACTCATAGACTTTAAGGTCAGAAGGGACCATTATGATCATCTAGTCTGACCCCCTGCACAGTGCAGGCCACAGAATCTCACCCACCCCTCCTAGAATAATCCTCTCACCTATATCTCAGATATTGAAGCCTTCAAATACTTTGAAGGCCCCAAGATGCAGAGAATCCTCCAGCTGTGGTCTGTGCCCCATGCTACAGAGGAAGGCGAAAAACCTCCAGGGCCTCTGCCAATCTACCCTGGAGGAAAATTCCTTCCCGACCCCAAATATGGCGATCAGCTAAACCCTGAGCATGTGGGCAAGACTCATCAGCCAGACACCCAGAAAGTTCTCTATAGTAACTCCTATCATCCCTCCATTGACCTATTTCCCACTGATAATGAATGGTCAATTAGTTACCAAGATCATGTTATCTCATCAAACCATCCCCTTCATAAACCCATCTAGTTTAATCTTGAAACCAGATAGATCTTTTGCCCCCACTACTTCCCTTGGAAGGCCGTTCCAGAACTTCACTCCTCTAATGGTTAGAAACCTTCGTCTAATCTCAAGTCTAAACTTCCTACTAGCCAGCTTATATCCATTTGTTCTTGTGTCCACATTGGTATTAAACTTAAATAATTCCTCTCCCTCCCTGGTATTTATCCCTCTAATATATTTAAAAAGTGCAATCATGTCCCCCCTCAGCCTTCTTTTGGTTAAAGTAAACAAGCCAAGCTCCTTGAGTCTCCTTTCATAAGACAGGTTTTCCATTCCTCGGATCATCCTAGTGGCCCTTCTTTGTACCTGTTCCAGTTTGAATTCATCCTTCTTAAACATGGGAGACCAGAACTGCACACAGTATTCCAAATGGGGTCTCACCAATGCCTTGTATAATGGGACTAACACCTCCTTATCCCTACTGGAAATACCTCGCCTAATACATCCCAAGATCGTATTAGCCTTTTTCACGGCCATGTCACAATGGCGGCTCATAGTCATTCTATAATCAACCAGGACTCCGAGGTCCTTCTCCTCCTCCGTTACTTCCAACTGATGTGTCCCCAGCTTATAACTAAAATTCTTGTTATTAATCCCTAAATGCATAACCTTACACTTCTCACTATTAAATTTCATCCTATTGCTATCACTCCAATTTACAAGATCATCCAGATCTTCCTGTATGATATCCCGATCCTTTTCTGAATTGGCAATAGCTCCCAACTTTGTGTCATTCTCAAATTTTATTAGGACACTTCCACTTTTGGTGCCAAGATCAGCAATAAAAAGATTAAATAAAATTGGCCCCAAAACTGATCCCTGAGGAACTCCGCTAGTAACCTTCCTCCAACCTGACAGTTCACCTTTCAATATGACCCGCTGTAGTCTCCCCTTTAACCAGTTGCTTATCCACCTCTCAACTTTCATATTAATCTCTCTTTTCCAATTTAACCAATAATTCCCCATGTGGTACTGTATCAAATGTCTTATTGAAATCGAGGTAGATTAGATCCACTGCATTTCCTTTATCTAACAAATCTGTTACTTTCTCAAAAAAGGAGATCAGGTTGGTTTGGCACGATCTACCTTTTGTAGATGTACCTATTGTACAGCTGGGCCTCGACATCTGAGGCAATTGGCTCCCAGGGAAGCATTGCAAGTCGGGGGGCGTTATAACTCGAACCCTCATTTACGACAGGTGCTGTGCACCGTCGTAAATGCGGGCCGAGGGTGTAAGTCAGGGGTTTTCGGCTCCTTCACACTTCCAAAATTGTTGTAAGTGCGGGAGGTTGTAACTTGGGCAGGCGGAAATCGGGGTTTCCTGTACACAAAACACATTTTGGGGATCCCCCTCCACTGAAGTACTGTTTCTACTGTGAAAGAACAAAGCCTGCAGCATTCTGGGGTGCTCCAGAAGCTGCCTTGCCACAGGAAAGTTCCAGCAGGGTGAAACAATTGAAGATACCTGTGACGGGGTGAAGGAACCCCACACTGCTGGAGGCAGGACTGGGGAGGATGGGGAGAGTGGTCGACCAGCTCTTCTCGCAGTGGTGGGAAGGCGTTGGCAGCTGAGCCGCACCAGGACAGTGAGGGCACTTGCCAGCACATGCGCCTTGGCAAGCGGGCTGTGGAGCACTGGGGCAAGGGCTTTAGGGGAGGACCCAGAAGACACCACATCTGGAGTGAGCCCAGGGGACACCGGCACATGTGCATTGAGGGCAAAGCCGGGAGACGCCAGTGCATGCGCAATAGGGGCAAGTCCGGGGGACGCCAGCGCAGGCGCGTTGGGGGCGGACCAGGGTGGAAGCTGGTGGCCTATAAAATGGGAAGGGCCAACTCGGTACGGGGGAGCGACTGGAATGGAGACAGGTGAGGGGTCACTGGGCCAAGAGAGAGAGGCTTGAGGGAGGAAGAGAGAGTGGGGGGGAAGGAAA